GCTTCTACAGGTGTTGTAGGTTCCTCCTGGTTCTCTGCTGGGGTTTCCTGTGCACTCGCTCCATCGTTATCATTAGTAGGCTCACTGTCTCCAGCAGTCATGTCTACGTCGTCCGACGACGCAGCAGCTTCTGTTTCCTCGGTCTTTGGTGCTTCAGTCTCCACTGCAACGGCAGCAACTGCGACTGCAGCATTGTGGAGCTCATCTCCGAAGAGACTGACCAGGTGCTGGTGTCGTCTGCGAGCGCTGGGGCTGCCGGCTGAGCCGGGACTGAGCATGCCGAACTGGTAATTAGGCGGCCGCTTGGGACTACGCGAGGGCGAGTCAGCTCCACTGCCGACAGTGCTGACTGTAGCTAGCAATGCGTCCAGGTTAAGCTCCTTGCCCTGACGTAGATCGGCCACCATGTTCTGGATCATTTCCTTCGTGCCATCCACGTTAAGCCACTGCCGGAAAAGCTCCTCCATCTTCATGCGGCCTGCAGGGCACAGATGCGCACTCTCGATCTCCGACAATCGCAAGGACTCGGGGCCTGTGCCACTCGAGCTTGTGGGAGACGCCATAGATGCGTCCGATGTCTCCACTTCGACAGTCATTTATTCGTCTCACAAAAGGTCACGCGTACAACCACCGATATGACAAGAGAAAGGAGACTGGCGTCTTCTCGACGAAGGGAGGGGCCACTGCGAGAGAGCGCTGGGAGTCGAGATATTACAGCACCGGCCAGGCCTGCGCTTCCTGCTCGTCTATCTTCTTCGTGTCTGATAGTCCGACGTCTGCCGCCCTCCCTTCCGGAATGTGGCCCACACTACAAACACCCAGTAATCGGTCAAAATGGCCAATCCGATCGCGTCAAACACTTGGATACAGAGACGAGGACGATGTTAAGGTCGCTTCACTGCTTGCATCGCGGTAGATTCCTTGGACCGCATGGTGCTGCTAATGCGGCCCAGCTGCTGTCAAGTGTCATATATTTATTGTACATTGATTAACAACGTTGCTTTGCTGCCATGGCCAATGCAGCACCAACATCGTACAGATACAGAGCTCTAAAATGTAAAACCAGCATTCAAGAAGGCAAAGATCACGATGCTTTGTATGGTAGTCGTCGTCGATTGTGGCTAGAAAATCCCGGTGGCCCACGGGGATGCTGCCAGCAAGTTGCTGCAGCTCCATGGCCCAGGGGGATACTGCCAGCAAGATATGTTGAAACGTTGTTCACACTGGAAGCTTTCGGCAGACGTGTTGACATGATTGTACTAGAACTCTACCAGCAGTTTCGCTTTGTCCGACTTCGTGGTCGACACACTACTGTAGTGCTATTTTGTTCAGGCAAACCTGTCCTTCAGTTAACGATCCGCTTTCTATCGACACATTTGCATGTCTTATCTCGAAACCCTTAGTCGGAAGTCCGATAACTCTTAACAATACAATACTTCATAGGTATGCCGTGCTGAGGTCGGGATTGACATGTGAAATCGAGGAGCTCCAGTCTGCAAATTGAAGTTCGTGTAGCCAAATCATTTTGTGCGGTTTCTCATTTAAGTACGAAAGCTACGGTACTTTGTACCATATTTTGCAGTGCTATCTGCCATCCAACGCCGACACCAGCAAGCACCGATACCGATGTGGAAGCCCGGCAGCGACCGACCGCAGGACAAGAAGCCCAAGGACAAGACCAGCAGCAACAAGGACAATGCAATGGCAGTAAAGGGCGACAGTTTGCCTGCGCGCAAGGTGCAGAAGGCGCCGGCCAAGCTGTCTCAGAAGACACTTGCCATGAAGGTTCGTCCACCCGTCCGTTGGTTGCAATTGGAGCGAGCTTTGTACTAACGCTTGATGTTTCTCATTTCCTCCGCAGTTCATGCAACGCAAGAAAACAACAGAGGCGCAGCGCATCGCCGCTGTCAAGGAGCAGCACAAACAGGACACTTGGGAAACCACGCTCGAGGAAGACCAGGGCGACGACGGGTCCAAGATCGTCTGCATGCGCGACGTGCCCGACCCGTCGTTGCCATTACTTCTCGGTCGTCGTTCCTTTGGCGGCTTCAACAAGGGCGTGGAGGATGAATTCAAGGAGGCATCTAGAGCGCTACGCTTTGCCGCATCCGAGGAGAAGGAACTCCGCGAGGAAGTTTCGGCCGAGGAGATGACGTCGCGCATGCTCAAGTACACGGGGCTGGGCCGTCGCAGCGGAGGCGGCAAGCGACCCAACAGCAACAAGCGTCAGCGGAAATAAGCATTTGCATCCTCTTATGTTGATAAGTTATTGCCCCACACCACGCGATATAGAGTCACTCGTCGTCGCTGGCGTCCTCGTCACTGAAGTAGCTGTCTGCTTTCCGTTGGGGTCGACGGCGCGCTGATATCGCTGCTGACGCTGCGGATACTGGCGGTGTAATGACCGAAGGCGGTGCCGATGAGGCTGAAGACGCTGTCGACGGATACGCCAGCAGTGAGATGGAAAAATCTTCGTCGTCAGAACCCGTGGGTGGTGCTCTGCACCCAATAATCCATTAGATAGATTCCCCTTTGAATGTATTTCACAGTCACAAGGATAAGAACAACGTACAGAATGTTGGTGACGCCTTCATCGTTGAAATAGTGCGCGTGCTCGTGCGGGTCGAACTTCTTTTTCTTCTTCTTGAGGTTCTTCCTGCTGCTCTTGCCTCCTGTTGTCACAGGCCGCTCCCGTGTGCCCAGTACATTACGCGGACATTCGTACGATACGTGACCCAGCTCGCCGCACTCGAAGCAGCGTTGGGACGTCGTGTATTTGCGCTTCTTGGCAAACTCCCGCGAGCGGCCGTTATCTCGACTGAGCGACACTGCGAGTTTCATCCCCTCCAGTGGCATCTTGTCCATCTTGGCCACAGCCTTGGCACAGTCCTCGGCACGGGCGAACTGCACAAAGGCCACACCACGACTGCGACGCGTCTGCTTGTCCCGAAGCACTAATACACGCGCCAGCTTCCCAAATGGAGCGAATAGCTGCGCCACGTCATTGGTGGTGTAGGCATACGGCAGCATCGCAACGTACGCTGTGCATGGCGACAAGCCCGGCGGGTGCGGTTCAATACCGGGTGAGCACTCCGCTTGACTTGCCATATTAGAGACTAGAACCGTACCACATATTTGGTACATTAGTGCATCTGTACCAGAATGAGTTGAGGTCGGTTGTGTATTATTCAGATGCTAAATGCTGGCATCTTGCTTGTTGCTATGTGTGTGCTTGGCAGACCTCAGCAGGGTTGCACTTCGAATTCTTAGCGCAGTCCGAAGCCTTCGGCCTGGTTAATCGCCAACAGAAGACGCTCTTTGAGCTTTTCGCGACTGCTGTACTCCGGCAGCAGCAGGTGATTAAAACTGGCCGTCCAAATACACATCGTGTTAGCTTCGGCTGTACTCAATCTGTCAACAAGTTCAACATTATTTGTACCAGGTGTGCGCTGTAGGAAGTCGATCCGAGTCCGGTCCATTGCGTGAAATGACAAAGACGAGATTCGAGAGTCCTCGAATAGGTACACGATCGCTACCAGTTGCGAACCGCAGCAGCTTCTTCTTGTCCTCCAATGGAAGAGCGTGCACAATGGTCCAGAAATCTCTGCCAAATACAAAATTAACAGTGTTAGACACTTTAACCAGCATTAACTGGACCCGTAGTTACACACCGGATGATGGTACTGTCGTCTGTGAACCCGTCCTCGTAATGTGTAGCCTCCTCAAGCGCCTCAAAGTCCAAGTCGCTACTGCCACAGATCAGCAACTGCAACTCCTCCCACCGGAACATACTCAGCACCTCGTCATTGCAGACCTGGTGGAAACCGTGGTGGAATGCAGCATACTGTCGAGAGACTGACCTGTTCAGCACGTAGTCTACGTAGAGCGCTACATATTCTTCACGGTTGTCATTGGTCACGGGAATCGAGCTGCCACCGGGCTTTAATTCCACCGTCTTCACCTCTCCAAACACTTCGTACGAGTACTCAAAGTTGCGTTGGTACACTCCTTCGACATCGCCCTCAAAGTTCAACAACTGCCGTAGACCACGTCCGAGATCAGGCAGTGCCAACTCAAGATCCTCCAGTCCTAGTGTACAGCCCATGAGCTTCTTGTACACAATGTGTGGAAAGCTCACGTCCAAAATTACGGCGTTGTAGATCGCGAGTCCAAGCAATGTACCAATGAGCTCGAACTCCATCGTAACTTCCAGTGAATCGCTGTTAAACCACAATGTGCGTGTCTCCTCGTCATAAGTAAACATCCCGTAGGCTGGGTCGAGCAACTGTCGAATGAGGATCTGGAAGAACTCCTTCTGCACTCCACCTTCATCAATGCCTTCCTCTCCAACAAACTTCACCTTCAGAGGTTTCTTCAGTGTCTCCGCTGATGTCGATAAATGCACCAATTGCTGCATTGCGTCCTCTACGATATTATCGCGTCGCACCTTTAATACCAAGTACGGCATCGGAGCACCTTCCACCATAAAAATCGAGCGAGAGACCACAGCGTCTTGTGCACGTGCACGCTGTTCCAGGTCCGAGTCGATCTGCAGTACTTTGCTCTTGGAAGCTGCGTCCAATACAAACGGGAAGTCGCAGAACGACATCTCCGACAATTGGCGCTCCGGCATGGGCTCAGCGTCTTGTTGAGCCTCTTCGAGTTCCCGTTCTCGCTCCTCTCGCTCACGTTCGGCCTCGCTCTGCTCTTCATTCAACTGTCGACGACGTCGTATCTCGTCTCTCGTCACTCGTCGAGCTGCTCGTGTAGCAGCACGGCGTTTCTTCCAGAAGATAATAGAGCGCGAATAGTCCTGCACCACGTCCACCTCTGAGTTCACGGCGTCATTGTAGAACTCGTCGTAAGTGGCAAATGGCTCCGTCCCATTCACACGCTCTCGGTTCACGACATGGAGCTCTGCGAGGACACCACAAGCTGCATACACAAGGTCCATTTTGCGTGATCCATAGAGACAGACAGTGATTGCCTGTTGGAGGATGTCCAGGAGGCGATGTAACTCGTCAGCTGAGTAAAAGTTCATCCACTGTTCACGCACGAGAGCTTTGGCCTCGTCTGATAAGTAAAAGAAGAGTCTGCATAGTCCACCCACGACGTTTAAATAGTCCGGATCAAACATGGACGGATGCTCAAATAACACCAAAAAGAAGCGCAGGGTGCGTGGGGCGTGCCATGTCGAGCAAACATTCCACGGCTGCGTCACCAACATCTCCAGTGCGTTCCGGAACGTGTTCTGCATCGCCTCCTGGTCGCTACCTGCCATTGCTCTATCCAAGAGTGAAAACACTCGTCCCATTTGGTCCCGATCAATGCCCCACCATTGTGCCTTCACTTCGTCTTCTAAGTTTGACTTGACAAAAGCAGCACTCAGTGCATCTGGATCTGAGAAGACTTGATACACCAGTCTCTTGACCGTTCGGTAGTCGTCCGTCTCCGTTGCAAGCTTCAGAGCGTTCTCTAACTGCGTCCCCATTGGAATAACAGACGTGGAAGCTCTCGTTCCATTGCCGTTAGTAGTGGAAGTATAATGAGCTTTTGTATGAGAAGAAGACGCAGTTGCAGTCTTCACAGCTACAGGTGCAACTCCAGCGGTAAAAGCTTCCGTGATGCTAGTCGCGGCCAAGTCGTTGGCCACGGCTGACGTTGAGGCCGGCGGTGCCGCCTCCTTCAATGTCTCCATTTCGATATCCTCCTTGTGTTGCTGCTGGGTCGACGCATCCTCCATCTTCACGTCCTCTTGGGTCTGGATCGATGGACTGGCCGCTGCACCTCCGTTGGCTGAAAGCTGCTGCATCTCCAGTAGAGCACGCGCCACTGCGTCGTTGGGTTCCAGACCCTGCGACAGGAAGCGCGCGTATGATGTGCGGAAAAGCTCCTGCAAATGCTCGGGGTCTCCCTGCTGCTGCGTATCCATCGTCAGCTCAACTTGGTTCTTCTTCGTCTTCTCTCAAATGATATACTTCACCATCAAGCGATTTGTATTGATCTTAGTGAGTTAGCTGATTTCGGCCAATGAAACTGAGAAGCAACTGGTTTCATTGGTAGAAACTAAGCAATAAGGATGTTCGAGAACAAAAGTGTCATGACCAGCTACAGCCGCTGGCACTAGGCTAACCATGCTAGGACATCTATCGTCTTCATGATATCTTGGTACTACAAGCTTGACTCCTCTTCCAAATTCACGTGATTCTGCATTTTTTTTTTTTTACATTTGACAGCTCCATACAAAGTTTCAGTCTTTTTGTCGCAGTTCTGTGCGGATAGGACGATCTATTTTCCACCAATCAGAACACTTACATCCTCTTCCGACACCTCGAAGCAAATAGCCACTTCACTTTCATTCCGCACGCAGTGCGCCACGTAACTCTGGCAATATGGACGCTACCATTGAGGCATGGCGCAAGAAGATGCCTAGTAAGCGCGCTCTAACGTCGACCATCAACCAGCTCGTACAGCAGAAGTCTGTTGCTGTACTGTACACGCCTACGGAGGTGGAGCGTATCAAACAGATGACCGACATGATAGCGCAGGCCACGAGCGACTACGAGGCGGACGAAGACTGGGACCGAATTCTGCGAGTCGTCGACGCGCTCAGCAATGTCAACAACCGCGCTGTGTACGTGCAGCGGTACGGGGGTGTATAGTATTGGTACTAAAGTGCGGAATGATTGTCACGCGATAGGCTGAAAGAGTCGATCCGATACCTGAAGCTGCGGCTGGGAGATCCATCGTCGCGTGTGGTAATTCTGGCATTGACATTGACCGAGTCCATTGTCAAGAACTGCGGAGGCCTCGTGCATCAGGAGATCGCCACAGAGCAATTTATGGGCGAGATGGAGGCGCTCTACAGGGTACGATCCCTTAAATGCTATTCACATGTGACTTGGAGACTAATTAGTTGTCGATATCGTAGACGCACGCTAACAAGCGCGGTCGAGACAGTATGGAGATCGCCAGTCGCGTACTGGACATGATCCAGGCCTGGGGTGAAGCTTTCTTGCCATTCAGGGTAAGTAAATTAGTTTATTGCTGAAATTGCACACGAGTGGAGGGTTAATTGGTGAGTGGTTGTGATCGCAGCATGAGTTCCCGCTGTTTGTGGACACGTACCACAATATGCGCAAGAAAGGCATCAAGTTCCCGGATCAATACGACGAGTCCAAGGTGCCTGTGCTGACTCCGGAGGTTCATTCAGGAGGACGCAGTAGCCGATCGACATCGTCAAATCAGACGCGATCGATTGACACCTCGTCCTACTCGAACACTAGCAGTGAACTGGGTGGACTGTCGACACTTGAACTGTATCGAGTCGCGACGAATGTGCTAGAAATGTTTGAAGACATGCTGTTCGAGGCGCAAAAGGATACATCGTCAATTGGAAGTCATGGAGTGATGGAGGAGTTGGCTGTGGAGATAAGGGAGATCGTACACAGACTGGAAGGCGCAATCCCCATTGCTGTCGCGGAGGAAGACGAGGTCAGTGTCTGTTGTCTTGCGTGGGTGGTAGAGGATACAAGCTGACTTTAATTTCTAAAATGTCTGTATTAGAACCTTGAAAAATACCTGTCGATTAACGACGATCTTCATGCAGCGCTGAAGAAATATGACGCGCTATTAACAGGAAACCAGAAACCCGAAGAGGAGACTGCATCGAAGTCCAAGACGGAGGATATTAATCTCATTGATCCATTCGGATTAAAGGACGACTTGTCCCCGAAAGGCAAAGAGGACAATCAGGTATCAAGCGACGACGACCCATTTGCGGATTTTGTGCGTGCTCGTACTGGATCCATCAAGGGATCTACTGTCATTAAGGTTGTGGAATCGAAGCCTGAAGTTGAGGTCAAGGCTGCATCTAAGACACCTCAGCAAGACGAGGATGACCCATTCGCGAGTTTCGTGCAGCAAAGAGCAACCAAGATTTTCAGCAGTAGCAGCAACCAGGATGCGGAGAAGGAGACGAAGTTGGCGGCCGCTTCAACTCCTGCTGCACCCGCAAAGAACTTGATCGACCTATGGGACGGTAAGAACATCCCCCCCCCCCCTTCGCTATGTTGCATGCACAGCTTTACTGACCATAGTTTGTATGAATAGATATCCCTACGGCGACTCCAGCTCCAATTGTAACCCAACCTGCAAAGCCTGATTTTTGGTTAGGGGACGACTTGCTTAACAACTCTAATCAGCAGCCTACTGTCCTGCCTACTGCTTCTTCGAAATCGCCAATTCAAGATCCATGGAGTGGTAGTACCTTGCCCAAAGATTTTTTACTCCCGTTTTCCAGTTCTAATAGTCATGTTCTCTTCGCAGGCAACAATTCATTATCGAAGTCAGCCACGTCCGTCACATCACTACCAGGTCCTTCTAGCGCATCAAGCAGCACCTTGGGAGCAAGCTTGAGCGACCCATTCGACATGCTGGACTTCTCGACAAAGGTTCGTTGTATTATGCGTTTGCTGTACTTCCTTGGGCTAACCTTTTGTCATGTAGACTTCTATCTCGACTCCCGCCTCTGCCAATCCCTTTGACACTCACCAACCTCAGCAACCGTCACAACCGGTGGCCAATAAATCGTTTAACCCCTTCGACTTCTAGATAAACGCGAAGTTGTTCATGTTGATCTAATAACTGGATTTGCTGTACTTTGCGACTTACTGTTAGTATCTGGTATTAAAACTTACGAAACCAAATGAATGCAAACAGAAAAATTCATATATTAGCTCATGCCTCCAAAGATTTCATCGGTTGCAACTCTCAAGAAACAAAACGATTAAGCTTAGATATGTATCGTGATGAAGGTGATCGACCCAAGTGGTTGAGGTGACACGTCACTCTGCCACGCGTTGTCGTCATCTTCAGCCTCACTTCACTTGGAGCCCTTTGACGCATACTGCTGCGCTTGCTTGAACCCAGGCGTATCGCGTTCACCTCCAGTCTTTTCGGGCTTCGCGTGCTTGCCTTGCATCTCCTGATGAGCCGTTCCAGCAGCAGTTTTTGCTGCTTCCGACGCCTTCGCACGTGTCTGCTTGGCAGCTTCAAGGCCCTTCTCCGTGAAGGTCTCACCTTGAGTCGATGTTGGCTCCTTGGGCTTCGTCGTCTTCGCCTCCGTTCGCGTACCCATACTTTTGGCAGTATCGGCGGCCGATTGAGCCTTCTCTTTGGCTGCTTCCTTCAGCTCACCAGCCTTATCCTTAGCTTGGCCAACAACGCCCTTCGACTGCTCTTTCGTCTCTCCAGTCTTCTCCTCAGTCTTCTCCTTCGCTTGGCCAGCCATCTCTTCTGTCTTCTCTTTCGCTTGACCAGCAGTCTCTGCAGCCTTACCAGCCTTACCCTTGGCACCTTCTTTGGTTTGCTCTGCCTTCTCCTTAGCCGTCTCGGTCATCTCACCAGCCTTCCCTTTGGCCTGGTCAGCTTTATCTTGCGCCATCTCCTTCGCTTGCTCCGTCTTCTCTGCAGTAGTCTCCTTCATTTCTCTAGCTTTCTCCTCAGTCTTCTGTGTAGCCATACCAGCCTTCTCTTTACCTTTCTCGACTTCTTCACCGAAAGTCTGTTGCATCTCGTCCTTCTTGGCCGCAGCAGCTCCAGTGGCAGCCGCACCCTTCGCCTCCAGACCTTGAGCTGTGTCGGACTGCTGAGCTGCCAGCTTCGCGTTGTGCAGCGTCTCCGAGATGTAGCTCACGCTCTCCGTCACTATGTCCACTGTGGTGGCTGCCACCTTGCAGCCAAGACCGCCCGTGATCTTCGTATCCACCTTCGCGGCCGTGGCCGACACACCCAAGCGAGCATCCAAGTCGCGGACTTTCTGGACGACCCCACCGGCTTTACTACTCACGCCCAGCTTCTCATCGCTGTATTCGGCAGCACGTACGGCCTCACCCACAGCCACTTGAGCTCCCTGAGTAGCTTGGCCAGCCATGTTTCCAACGGCGTCACGCAACTTCATCAACTGCTCGTTGGTCGTCTCCATGGCGTCGGTGGCGCGTTGACGACCAGCATTTACCCAGTGGTGCAGTGTATCCATGGCCTGTTGACCGCGAGATCCCGCGTACTTGTCATCGTAGGCGACAGCTTGTTTCTGGAGATCGTCAAGTGATTCACGAACGGAATTCATGCCATCAATCGCCACGGGAACCGATCGTTCCGACAACGACTGGCCCTGGGTCTTTAGCTTCTGCGTCGCCGAACGTGAAGCATCAAGCGCCGACTTCAAGAACTGCCCAGCAGGCTCAAAGTCTTCGTGATCCTTCTCATACTCCTCGACACGCTTTGTCAACTATAAAGTAGGATAACATGAATACCGGTTAGAGGAGTTATTGCTACGCCGCCACTCGCTACGCACCTCGGTCAGATATGAGTCGGCCTTCTGAGTGGTGTCGTGGATCTGCTCCTTGGCACGGTCGATATCTTCTTGGTGGGCATCCATCTTGCTATGTAGGTCAGCCATTCGGTTGTTTGCTAGCTCTTCAGCGTCGATGTGTGGCTCAAACGGTAAACTGCACAATGAGAAAGGCTTCAAGCCTGAGGCTTTAAAAGCTCCCGTTAGGTCTGCAGAGCTTTCCGTGGTTTGGCCGTGAGCACCCTCGTCCCAGCGAGTGGTGGGTGTGAACATTAGCAAGGCATGACGGATAGCGACAACGGCCAGCTGAAAAAGTTGGGCGAAGAGGCTGCTTGGGCTTTTCTCAACTGTTCTTCTTCTCGGGTTTGCGAGAATGACGGAGGTCTGTTGTTGCTTTCTTGAAAACAGTTACAAAACTTTGGGTTTTGGTTTTACGGTGGCTTAAACCGGAAAACCTTGTTTTTATATGCAACTGTCTATCACGTCCTGGAAAAAAAAAAGCAGCCAGGAATGACGAGGTAACTGAACGAGAACCTTGCTATCGCTATCGAATATCGCTCTGTATATTGGTGCCCAGTTAATCTCTAAAAACAATGTGAGATTACAGTTCCGGGCAGCGCGGTGCAAATCTATGCAAAATACTAGTGCATGTAGTAACGATTAAACGAGTATTAGGAGTGGTAAGCGTTTTTGATTAGTATTGCATACGATGTGCATCTATTTTACTATCTCGCCTACGAGCTCTTCGTCGGTGTATTATTGATGTCGTCTGTCTTGGAGCCTTGCAACGCGCTCGCCACGTAGTCCATTCCTGACGACATCGCTTCCGTCGCGCGATCCATCAAAGTGGGGTCGCTCTTTGAAGTCGTATCCGCCGGCTTCAACTTGTCTGAAGCCTCCGACGCCTTGTTGGAGACACCATCGGCTACAGCGGACGCTTGCTGCGCCATCGCCTTTTTCGTTGCAGCAAACTGGTTCTGCAATGCCTCAAAGCTTTGGAACGTTGCATCTCGAGTAGACGTGACAAGCGATGAGATGGAGTCCTGCCAAGATGACAGCGTGCTGGAGCCGTTCTCTTTTGCATTTTCCGCGCTCGCATTGATAGAGTCGCGTACGTGGCGATCGTACGCCTGCGCAGACTTGCCCAAGTTGTCGAGTGCCGTGCCTACCTGCTCCATGGAGCGCTTGGCGGCATCGACCACGGAGTCCGATACATTGTTGCCATCTTTGCGAACTTCTTCTCCCGATCTCCTGAATTCGTCCACAGCAGCTCTGGCCCGGTCCATTGCGCTCTGGAAGTAGGAGGTTGCCGTCTCCTTTGACGATTTGTGCGAGGTATCGTAATCGGTAAACTTGGCTTTGAGCCCGTCAAGGTAACTTGAGGCTTCGTTGGCACCGTTCTGCATCATTTCGTGCAGCTTGGAGAACTCCTGGTGGTTGTTGCTAGAAGAGTTGGTGGGGGTCTGGTCGGAGATGGCCATGGTTAATGGAGTAGTGGTCTTAAGTTGGTTTGATTTGAGCCTTTGAGAGTAAATTCTGAAATGAGCTACAGACTTTGAGCACCAGAAAGCGCTGGTGGATCGCAATGCTTTGGAGGTTGGCAGCCAAAAAAAAATGTTTTTACGGCTGAGACAAAATTTATCACTGAGAAATGTTTCAACAATTCGACCGTTGCCAAAGAACCCTAAAAGGTCCCTCTTGCGATGATTAAAGCTCCGATGTCGGCCATACAATGTATGTCATGGCACGTGTTGTTGCGTTAAGTGAGCCGCGTTGGACTGTCAGTAGAATCCATGGTACTCTGGTTGAAGGAGTGGCCAGTGTGATACGAGCAGCGCCATTTCCACTTTTGGTGCCTCGAAGCCAAATGGCGAGTGCCTTCGACCCCCACGCCTTTGCGGTTGCCATGGAGCTGGCCAACCAGCTATCGAGCGACGGTGCGTTTGTCGATGAACTAGACAACGCCAAGAGCGACGACTTCGTTGACATTTCCTGCGACGACGTGGAGAGGGATCCCGTACTCGACAGCGACGGCGTTCAAGTATTCCGAGAATCGATTCCAGATAGTGTCTGCATTGACACCCCGGTCTTGAATGCGGCTGAGTACACAAAAGAAGCAACCATAGTGCACGGCCTGAAGTCGAGCTCTAGCTGGTGGTCGCTGATCGAGCACATGGTGGATGTGTCGGCCGACGATTTGTTGGAGATGAACTGGTGACCAATCGCCCGTTAGGTGATCTCGTAAATGGACCAAAATGCGCAACGGGCTATACACGCACGGTCACATCGGCTTACGAACTTCTACAAAAACAGTATCAAAGAGTATGTAGTAAGGGCGTACATGTAAACTTTGCAACTAAATAAATTATACAACAATACTTTCAAGTAGTTCTAAGCTTTTAGAGGTCATGGTTCATACATTGAATAGGGGGTGTTAGACTTGGTCAAAATTCAGTGGGACGTCTCCACCCGTGTTAATACGCGAAAGATTTTTTTTTTTTTCTCATGTACTCCGTACAACTTGAAGTTGCCCTCTGTGCGAGTAGTGATTGGTTCTCTTTTTCATCGAATGGATAAGGTTCACACCGCGTCCGGCTATCAACGAAGGCTCTCTTGCATATTGGACGCCAATCCAGTAGCCGCCCGACTGTTGAAACAAGTTGTATCTCACCGCTGAGAGTTCTCGAGCATTCTATCGCAGCCATAAAAGGATATTACTTGGCTTCTTCTTCCATCCTACATGCGGCACCCTCTAAACAGTTTTGATCGACGATCGATTGATGCTTTCCAACGAGCACCGCACGAGGCGGATGCTCGACCTCTACTCTGCTCATTCCAACATTTGATCTCAAGTGCACAAGCAAAACCAACCAACTCAACCAACTCAACCAATCATGGCTATCTCCGACAACAGCTCGAGCAACAACGCCGCCCAGCAGGAGTTCACCAAGCTGCAGGAGATGATGCAGAACGGTGCCAACGAAGCCACGAACTACCTGGATTCGCTCAAATCCAAGTTCACTGATTATGACAACTCGCACACGTCGTCGAAGGAGAAAGCGTCGTCCTACTTCGAGAGCGCCATGGACCGAGCCCGAAAGTCGGTGGACGACTTCAAGCAGAAGTCAGAAGAAGTTCGCCGACAGGGCAACAACGCGTCGGACTCTGCGGTCGATGCCGCCAAGCGATCCATGGAGCAGGCGAACTCGTCTCTTGACGACTTAGGCAACTCCGCCCGAGATTACGACCAGCGCGCACGCAGCAACATCAGCTCAGGCGTGGACACTGCCAAGGACAAGGGCTCGAGCGCACTGTCATCGATGCAGGACTCGATCTCGTCGCTCGTGAACTCCACCAGGGATTCGACGTTCCACGGCTTTGAGTCGTTGCAGAACCAGTTCGCAGCGACCAAGAAGGCGATGGGGGAGCGCGCGTCCTCCGCAGCCGACACCGTCTCCAACAAGGCGTCGGATGCTTCGAGCAAGATGAACCCGGATGAACCCTCGCTGATTGATCGCGCGACGGGAGCGGTGTCGTCTGGAGTGAACTACGTCACGAGCGCGTTCCAAGGCGACAACAAGAAATAAAGAGTCACTAGGAGATCGTAGGTGAGCGAGGAGGCGATCCAGCGACATTCATGACATTCATATTAGCTTTTCCTAAAAAGCAAATCTACTCTGCCTTTAACTCTACTTGGTGCTAGCGAGTTGCAGCGATCGTTGACTGAAGGTGCTGTTTTCATCGAAAATTAAAAACAATGCTTTGAGTATGTATATGAAAAGGCTATGGATACTAAGTTGAAGTTTACATACGTTTCTACATGAGCTCGTCAACATGAACTCCCCATCATGTTTTCCTACCTGTCTGAAGCTATGGCCATAACCTCGAAAGTTGCCAAAATAAAGCGTCGATCGAAGTGGTCACTGGCAAAACATTTCTGGCAAAGATGGTTTTGGAAAACCTTTTCCTCTGGTCCTTGGCAGCTAAATCAGTCAATGCTGGGAACAGCCAAAATGCACGAAAATAGCCACATTCAAGTGCCCTTCCAACTCTTCGCCACTCCTGTTTCTCCGTCTGCCTGCGTCAGTTGCAGCGCCTCTTGCTGGAAGGCACATCGTCGGTCGCTCACTCGCCATCCTGGTTTCTATAGATCGACACAACTATGTCGAAGAAAGGAGGCAATGAGATCGAAACACTCGTCAAGGTGCTGGAGAAGGGCAACAAGAACAAACAAGACATCGTCATCGACGACATCATCTCGAATCCCATTTCCTGTGGCTACCTGCTCGATTTTTGCCAGAAACAAGTACGTCAACGATTAAAACTCACTTGATCATGTGTCGTACTAAGTACCTGTTTTAACGAATGACTGCTTGTAGTACTGTGCAGAGAACCTCAACTTCTTCATGGCGGTTGACAAGTTTAAGGACGAGTGTGGTCTGCTCGATTTTCGCGACCCGGAGTCGGTGCAGTCGTGCAAGGAGATGGCAGACCAAATTTGGGCGGACTTTTTGTCTTTGAACTCCCCCAACGAGGTGAGTCTGCCTTCAGACGACCGTGAGCAGACCCAGGAGCGCATGAAGCGACCAGGTGAATACCGCGCCAAACTCTTCGATGTCGCAATGCAGGACGCCATCAAGACGTTGCAAAAGGACACACTTATGCGTTTCCTCAAGGCGCAGCAGTACACCGAGATGGCTACAAAAGTCTCATCTGTACACGAAATGATCGTCAAGAAGGTGTTCGACTCGGACAACTCGTACCAGATCGACATGCCGACAGCAACGACACTCACAGACGAGAAGATCGCGAAGGGAAACTTCTCGCTGGACGAGATTCTAGGTGACAAGATTCTCTTCCGTGAAATGCTCGACTATCTAGAGAAGAGTGCGTTGTTTAGTTTCTGCTTGTGTATGACAGCTTCACTAACCTGGTTTTTGGTTTAAACAGAGTTTAAGGCTGAAAACCTCAAGTGTGCGCGTCAGATCCGGCGATACGAAGAGATGGCACTGCAGATGAAGGCCGACGACCTCAAGGACTTTGCGTGGAATCTCTATCTCTATTTCATCGCTCCTGGGTCCCCGTACGAAGTATCGTGCACCAATTTGGACCGTAAATCGGTCCAATTGCGTCTTGGCTGCCCCATTAAGTCCATGTTCGAGCCGATCAAGGAGAACACGATGCTCGTGCTCAAGCAGGACCATAAGACGTTTCTACAGCAATTGCAGTCGAAGACGCTCAAGGACCGTCTCAAGGCGGAGAAGGCCGGTAGCTCGCCGCAGAAAACAGGCTTCCTCTCCAAGTTTAAAGTATTCTAAGACAACAGAGTAGATGACAGCAAGGCGACACCGCTAACCAGCACAGGATGATATGCACAAGCCTAAACCGTTCTATTATCTTTCGTGTCTTGCTTCCTACCACTAAAATACAGTCTTCACACTCTCTTCAGCCCTTTTATTGTCTCTGAGAAGCCGCGTCCAACAGTTTCTGCTCATCGATGGCCACTGCAGCCATCTCCATCTCAACGTCCTCCATCAGTGCGTTAACATGCGCGTCGTCCACGGCCATACAGCCCTCCTGCTCTGCATCGTAGAATGTATTTTGCACCACCTCGTCCTGCTCTTCTTCTTCATCGTATTCTTCTTCATCTTCTTCCTCTTCCTCGCTGTCAACGTCCTCGTCCAGCTCCGCGACTGTGCGCACCACGGGTCCGTTGTTCAGCGCCTCCTGCGTCACGTCCACAGCCGCCACGATCTCCTCGTCCTCATCGTCGTATACAAACCGCGTGTGTTTGCCCTGGAAAACGGGCAGTCCCTTCGCCACGTTCTCCTCGTCTTGGAAAAACTCGGAGCGCGCACCGATCTCCGGCTGTGCACGCACGGCGGCGTTCAGACGCTCTACCTCCTGCGTCGTGAACTCCACGGCCTGGCGCTTAAACTCGGCGGCCGAAATCTGTTGCGCGTACTGCGTCGGGGGCGCAGCAGAGGCGTCGTCCATTGCGTGGTCTGCGTCCATGGTGTCCGCTATAATCTACTTGGTCTCACTATGCCACAAACCGTTATGAAGCTCTTCCGGATCCGAGACGACTGGTGACGCCGGACTTTCGAATAAGGCCGCACAATAAATGAAATTATTTCCTTGGTGTCACATAAAATATTCAGGTTTCCCCCTCATAAGTCCGCGCTATCTGCTCCAGTCGCTGCAAGTACGTCAGTACATCATTTGCAGCTCCAGATCATGTCGAACGGAGCGTACGACCGTCGCGGCAGCAGCATCGCGGCCGATGTGGACGCTGCCATCGAGCGTGTGGTGGATCACTTTGAGAGCAGCGACCTGGCGCTGCGTCTGGATGTGCTACGGGCGTTGAGTGCCCAAGCGAAGCTGGCATTCGAGACCACGCGTGTACGGGAGCACCTCGCCAAGCACCCGGTGTCCATGGACTTGATCCAGGGCGTGACGAGCCAGTCGTCCGTGTATAAGATGCTGGCCGATAAGCTGACGGTGGATAGCTGCAGCTGCGACTACGATGCCAAGCGGAATGTGGTCATGACCACGAACGTGCGCTGGACGCTCAAGCCGAAGACCAGTGAAAAGCCCACAAAGAAGCGCAAGAAATCGATGACCTCAGTGGCGAAGGAGGAGAAGGGACCGATGATCACCAAGTACAAGTTTGAGAGAGTGAGACAGGAGAAGGAAGAGGCCGAGGAACAGGAGACGCTCATCAAATTCACTGTCGTTGTGGCCTTCGGAGACGACGATGCGAACCCGAGAGAGCTGCTGCATTTTGAATTGGCCTGCGAGTATGTGTACCCCAAAAGTTACTACGAGGATCAGAAGCAGTTGCCGTCGGATGACGAAGATGAGAATGACGAAAACGAGAAGAGTGCGAAGAAAGAGGAGCAGAATGACGAGGGATCTGACGAGGAGGAAAAGGACGAGAAGACTTTTGGTGAGGAACTGCGTGGCTTCCGCTTCGACAACGAGGTGCTTGCTGCCATGGGCGAGTGGATGGGAGCAGATGACGAGGAGCTAGACCCTGTGGACGTCATTGGCTTTTTCATGGCGCTGCCTGTTCATGAGGACGAGTGGCTTGTGGACGAACGCGTGTGCGAGATTCTCTTCCAGGGTGGAATGGGAGCTGACAGCGACGAGGAAGGTAGCAACAGCGACAATGAGGAGGAAGACGACGAGGACTGAGCGCTTCGTGACATGTAGTGACGCCTCCACAGCAATGTAAATATATCTAGAGCCATACTGTCGAGACTGCTGCAGGACATGCGAGGTAACATTATGCTATTTTTCACGATGCAGAGGATCCCATGCCAGTAGTTTCGCCAATCCAAGTCTAGTATTGTCCATGCTGAGTGTCAGTCTACCTGCTCATCTGTTGCAGGTATCAAGAACATGGCGGCGGGCAAGTTTAAATCTCATAGCAGCAAAGAGACTTTGAGACGACCACCTTCGTCAACGCGGGATGATTCCATTGACGATCTGTACGAGAACAATGCGTTCGGAGACGAAGACCGCGAACTGGAAGCTGCAACAGCCAAGGCCGAAAGCAAGACAAAACGTAGCGCAGTGGAGCCTCAAGAGTCAAAAGTTGCCGGTAGTAAGTCTCTCGGCAACAAGATGCAGTTCGACGTGTGGGTGGCACGGAAGGACAAGTACGAACGCATGGCACGAGCATTGGCACAACTGGACTCGGCTCGAGCTGCCAGTGAGGATTCCTGGCTCGAAGTAGCAGTAGCTTTGGCAGCTACAGATTGCCAGCTCAAGACGGGAAAGACGTCGGCGTGTGACTGCCCTGGGGTGTGTCGTGAGCCAGCGCATTCCGTGGCGAGGCAGCGTACGCGTTGTCAGTGTCCAGCTCGAAAGTGCTCCCTGTGCAGACGTTGCGTTGGTACGAAGCCAGGAGCGATTTCTCCGAAGATGATCGCAGTGCTGGAGCCTTACGAAGGAGTTGTGAATGGGTCTTTCGATAGTACGAAGGCCATTTTGGATCTTGCGACGATTATTGTACGCACGGGTGAAGGCCAAAGTCTCAGTCTGGAGGATGGCACGAGTGTTCGTATCACCACAGCAGCGTTCCGGATGGCTCAGACGGTGTTAGCGCAGTGCAGCATATTGGAATCACCTGAAGGTGTGAAGCTTCAGCGCCCTTGCACTTGTCCTGTACGCTCACTGGGAGATCTCTGGGTCAAGTGGACTACCAAGAACCACACCTTCTCACGTGTACCGCTCACTGAGGACGAAGCGAAGCAATTCTCTGCAGGTACGAGGCAGATGATGGATCAGGATAAGAATGAAGACGGCAATACAACGTACTACATGACGCTCAAATGGCACGCCGCAGCCAAGCCTCAGAAGGGGGATACAGCCAAGATCGCTGCTCGTCGAGCACTCACAGTGGACCAGAAGAAGCAGAACGCGTTTTTCCTCGGACTCTGCAAGAAATACTGGCAGAAAGCTCAACTCCGCGTGGCTGAACATCTTCAGAAGACGCTGGCAGCAATGGCAGACAACGCTCAAAGCTCTGGTAAAAGTACAGCCGATGTGGAGATGGCAGCGTTGAATCGTCTTGGCGTACGACGCATGTTGCAGTGGCTTGAGGAAGACGCAGAAGCCGTGGAGAACGCTCGTCAAGAAGAAGCACGGGAGAAAGCAGAGGGAGGAATCGTGGCGCACAACGCCTGGGTACGTCGCAAAGACCGTCTGCGTATCCGTATGCCACCTCCAGAGGCAAATGACGGCGCAAGACCAGCTCGACAGCCCCCACCGCCTCGATTCGACTTCTCCTTGGGCTCTGGACTCGTTCGTCAAAAGAAGGTTTGTCGTCCTCCAAGCTCCACGGCTGAGCTCATGAGGAACAGCGGTCTCAAGTACGTGCACGCCATGAGTGAAGGGTTCCAAGGTCGCGGTGGCGACTTGGAAAAGAGCAAACAACTGCTGGTCCAGCAGGGTCACGTGTTGCGCGATAACTTCGATCAGGACAACAGAGATGACGACGATGATCCAGACTCGAAGCCGTTCTCGAAAGACCGCTATCTTTTTGAACGCCGTAATAACCCTGCTCTCCGTGGGAAGCTCGAGGGGGATCGTCGTCGACGAGAACAAAGTCGGGAAAGCTACGCAGCTTGGGTCGCACACAAGGCCATGCGGGATAAAGCTGTCAAGTTCTTGGAACATCTTCCATCACCGAGAGAAGGTGACGAGGGTGAACCGACCATCGACAATAACGCCAGCTACGAAGACGATTTCGATGAGGATTCAGGGCGCAGTGGGCCTGCAACGCCGGCGACGGTGCGTTGGGAAGAGGTCGGGAAAGCTCTCAAAGCTGTAGACCGCACGCTACTGGACGCGTGGGTGCGCTGGAGTCGCGGATTCCGTAGTGCTGGACGCTGTCGTGCTCTGTGGGAGAGTTTCACTCCTGTTAGCTGTGATGTCCACTGTGCGTCTTCTCCACTTCGTGACGTGTTTCTCAAACTGCTGCATCGCCCGTCGGGCGTGAACTACCGTCAAGCATGCGTTGAATTCTGCACAAGACGACACAAACAGGCTTTGGCTCGTGGTGATGCCATCGATGAGAACGGTGAAGAGCTGGACGAAGAGCTGGAGGAAGCCAAACTCATCAAACGCTATGGGCTTGTGGCTGGACGTGAGCTTGCAGTGCTCGTTCGACGTCTTGGCGTCGTGTTGCAGCCCGAAGAAACTCAACGACTTGTAGAGTTCTTTGCCGATCCTGAAGAAGCTCAAGAAGCGAGTGGGCCAGTTCGGATTAAACTCGAGGCCTTTCTGGCTGTGGTGGGCGATGAACGTCGCGCCTTGTGTCGTGGGGACACGGATCAACTCCTGAGCTCCGTTTGTATGTGGGAGACTGTTTGCCACGAGTGCGGAATGTTGAACGCCTTCCAGCTTGTACTCGGCACTGAAGGTTCCAGTCATCGACGTCGCGCTGAGCTGCCAGGGCATGTTTGTAGACGTGAACAGTATGGAGGAAGGTTCAATTGCAGTCCTGAAAGCGATATGATCGCTGTGCGACGTGTAGCCCCTCGCCAATGCGCCTTCGCTCAATGGGACGATACAAAAGCTGCGCCGTTCCTGAAGAAATTGGAATTGTGGTCTGCAGTGCCACGAGAGCAGCATGTTCTACGCGAGTTGGTGACTTCTGGCCAGCCTCCGGGTGTCCCTGTGCTCGAGAGAGACGACGACGATGACGCATTGGACTTGACCACAATGCTACGTCTGCGATGGAAGATGGCGGACACTAGGAATGGTGGGGCACCAGCTTTTTATCAGCTGGAGACGGCGGGCGCTGAGGGATCAGCTTCGTTCCGAGTGAGCAATTACCACGAAATTTGTCGCGATCCGAAGGATTTCTCCGATAATGACGGCGTGCCTCGCGGTACGTTCACAGTCACGGGTCTGTCGCCGAATACCAAGTACGCGTTCCGTGTACGTGCGCTTAATGGCTTTGGTGCTGGTGGCTACGCTTTCTCGTACTTCGTGACAGCTCCAGCGAGGCCTGCTGAGCCTCTGGCCATTACAGTAGGTCCTTACAGTGTGAAACTCGCATGGGAGAGCTCCTCGTACTACACGCGACGACTTCGAGAGCTGGAAGAAGTGTTCCGAGAGGCTGATGTCGACGGGAATGGCCGAATCTCACGCGATGAGTTCATGGAGGAGATTGAACGTCGTAAGCCAAAGTTGGTCGCTTTCCTCCAGCAGACTACAGCTGCAGCGACTGAAAATGGTGCGACGACGGGGGCTCCATTGAGTGTATTTGATGCCATTGAGACGGACGATAACGAGAGCATTTCGTGGGACGAGTTCTTAAGGTTCTTCCATGGTGTCTTGGATCTCCCAGACACCGCATCACGTAGTTCTAAAGCTTCTAAAGCTTCTGCGAGATCCTCGACGAACTCGAGTAGGTCGCTGAGCGGCTCTGCGTCGTCTCGGTCCCTCCAGAAATCGTCAAAAAGCAAGTCGAGCACCTCCGCTTCAACATGTCGATACATTCTCAAGCAGTGCTCCAACGAGTCTGCAGGAGAATACGTCGAGATCTATCGAGGTGCGGCTCCAAGGTTTGAAGTGCTGGGACTCCATAGTGGATCAACGTATCAATTCCGAGTACAGGCAGTGAATGCTGAAGGTCGAGCCAGTCTACACAGCGAACCCGTCGTCGTGAACACGCTGCTACCCACTCCAGCCCCTCCGACAGTAAATACTGCAGCTGTCGAGTCTGCAGTTCAAAGTTCCGTCTTGCGTCTGCGTTGGGCGGTGGCTAACGCTCGTCCAAGCATATCTGTTGGAGCCTTACGTGCGCCTAATGGTGCAGATGATCAGGTGTCTCGATTGCTGAAGGAATGGGCTCAAGAAACGAGTTTGGATGATGGCGCCGTGGATTTCAAGGCGCGCTTCGATCGCTATGACGTTGACGGTAGTGGATATCTCGAACTACCAGAGTTCCAGACACTTCTTAGCGAACTGGGAGTGCCACCGACACCAGAGCGACTCGCTGCTTATCTAGCAGCCTTTGACCTCGATTCTGATGGCAAGATCTCGTTCCCTGAGTTCGCTCGCTGGTGGACACAGCCAGATGTCCACTACGTACTGAAGCGCGACGCTGGGTATCGGGACGGAGAGGAAGATACAAATGTACCAGACTCCAAAGCTGACGAGATGCGTCTTGTGTGCTATCGTGGCTCCGAGGCATCAGCGACGGTGAGTGGCTTGGAGCCCAACACACGCTATCGTTTCCGTCTTCGACTGGTGGGAGCTCATGCGTCGAGTGCACTCAGTGAGGCATTGACAATCTACACCGCTCCCAGCGCCCCCACTTGCGTCGGGAGGGTGGAGGTGGGCTCAGATAGTGCACTAATCCGCTGGCATCCAGGCCCCGGTGGTGCACTACGATATGCTGTGGACTGCAAACGCATCGAGACGCTGGCACCACGAGCTTCTAGCTTGAATGATGCTCCCAGCGAGTGGCGTCGTGTATATGATGGTCGTGAGTCGCTGGCATATCTCCGTGAGCTGCAGCCCGAGACGGTCTATCGTCTTCGTGTGTTTGCCATCAACAGCGACGAAATCCAGAGCGCACAGTCCACAGTCTCGCAGCTTTGCACAACTAGCAAAGAGGACGCACAACGTCGTGCTCGAATGGCCAAGCGACCTGCAGGTGCTGCCGACTACTTCACCATCGAATGCGGACCAGAGGAAGGAGATCTGGTACTTGGCGATACTGTGCTCTTCTGCGAACGCCTCATGCGTCGTAGCACAGACGCGGATCGTTTCTCGAGACAAAGTTCCGGTTTGGCGCAGGCCTCGGTGTACTCTGTGACCAGCTCCACTGGAGGCGCCGAAGCTGTTGGAGAACGCACCGTTGCAGCGAAAGTTGTCGGGATTTCTCGACATCCTCGACTGGGGATCGTGTTGGCACTCACAGTTGTTTGGTGTACTGTGCAGCTCTACAATGTGGAGGCACTAGCGACGGCTTCAAGTCGTGGAGGAGCGAGTGTCAGTGGAAGGAAGAAGGTGCCAACGATCCACACAACCAGTCGAGAGCTTATAGGCGTCGACGGATACACACTTGCCACCGATCTTAAAATCTCACGACCTGAACGGAACTTGTATCGCTTTGACACGTTCCGAGCGGAGTGGGAAGACGAAGCTGCTCGGTATCCAAGCACTTGGGATAAGTAGACACAAAATAGCTAGCTGTAAAGACAAGAAAGTATAAGAGGAATGACAAAAAGGATCTACTTACGGTGTTGGCTTCTCTAATTGGTGATTTGGATGTCGCGAATGAGCTCACACAGTTCATCGTCAACGTAACGTGGAGCGTTCTGAGCCTTACCATGTCGACGACCATGGTCGTGGAGCTGCTGCAACAACGTCTTAGCGTCGGGCTCCTTCGTGTCTGCCTTGCGGATGAAAACTACACTATTCACATCCTGCTCGCTGGGTTTGAGCGCCAGCACAGCGTGAGAGCCCGAGAACACACGCTGTAGCCGTGCAACGATCTCCTTGTATAGACCACTGTCGCGGCAGGAAACGTTAATAAGCAACACGCCACGAGGAGCCAATAAACTGTGAACATGAGCCAGGAATGCGTCCTCAACGAAGCTGACAGGTGGACAACTCATGCCCACATCGCGCTGCTTGGCGTCCACGTCCACAACGATGGAGTCAAACGTTGGTTTCTCAGCTGCTGAGGACTGCTCAGCCACGTACTTGAGTGCATCAGCCACCACTACACGCATCCGGTCGTCCTGCTTGAAGCCAAAGTACTGCTCAGCCACCGTCACGATCGTCGGATCCAGCTCACACGCTGTCACATCCATACCCGGAACGTTATCGTGGAGATACTGGGCCAGACAGCCACCGCCGAGACCAAGCACCAATGTGCGGTGTAGCGAGTCGGGTGTTCCTCTGGAAGATAACGAAGCCGCGTGAAGCGATGCGACCATGCCCTTGTGGTAATCGAATGCCAGGTATGAAGTATCCACACTCGCCTGCTTAGTCTGAGCCTTCTTTTTCTTCTTCTGGTTCTTCTTCTTGTTGTTTTTCTTCTTCCTGGCGGCTGCCGCAGCCTCCTCCGGTGTCATGTCGGACGTATCAACAGCTGCAGGGGCTTCAACTGAGGCAAGAACAGGAACAGGAGCAGAGCTTCCTCGAGCCAGCATCTTCACTTCACTCTGAATGACGTTAGTGTTGCTAAGAAACACCAGACGACGGAGCGTCTCGCCATCTTCTTGTACTTCCTCCACGAAGAATGCACCACTGAGTGGCGACGTACCTTGGTGTACGATGTTACGAGCACCGAGACCTTCTTCCACCGTCAGATACGGGATCTTCTCATCTGGTCTAAGCGTATCAGGGGCCAGCTCCATCACCTTGGCGTTCAACTCCTCCTGTACCTTCGCAGTGCTCTCAAAAGCGTGGCCACCACGACCAAGCGCGACAATAATAAGGCGACTGAATCCAGCTCCAGCCGCAAGCTCGTTCGCTCCTTCCTCGGTCGAAAACATCCACTCGTGCTCGCGGCCTTGCGGGATCAGGAACACGGCGCAGCTACCGTTGGGTCCGCGCAAGTGAGCGTCCACTAAGCGCAGCGTAAAGCGTGGATTGACTTGGCCTTCCACTGCCAGATGCTTGTTCGCGTCCATCTCGTCGTTGGCGATGAGCTCGATGATCTCCTGTCGTCCAACCTTCAGCTGACGAAGAGCTGCCTGTGTCATAGCGAACCATTGCGTGGCTTCCACTTCGTGCGTTAGCCACTGCTGACGAGCTTCACCTACGCCACTAACAAACTGCTTGGCATTGTATTGCGCCTTCTTGGAAGCCTTGGAGTCCGACTTGGGGCACTTGAGCGCCGCTGCCAGGAACGGAGCGAAGAGTTTGCGAGCGTCACGTGGGAGTTCCTGCACGCCCACACTCCAGTGTGTCGGCTCTGTCTCTGTCACATCCTTCAAACTGAAGAAGCTCAGAAGATGCTGGAGGATAAAATCTTGCGCCATGGTGACGCAGAGGTAGCGACCGCCAGGCGCCAGCACACGTCGCACCTCGCGCAGCATCTTGGAGGCGTCCTGTTTAATCTCGGGTGTATCTTCAGCCATTAGCGCGTCCAATGCGCCCTTATCCATCACCAGGTCGAAGCTGGCGTCCTCGAGTGCACGCATGTCTGTCATGTCCATCACTTGCCACTGCAGCGCCGGGTACTTACGACGCATCTCGTCGATGACGCGCTCACTAAAGTCCACACTCAAGAGGCTGGAGAAGCCGTCGGCTGCTAGATCCGCACTCAGCGCCGAGTTACCGCAACCCACAACTAGTACACGCACTTTGGCCTTGAGGCGACGTAGAAGCGACGACGGAGCGTCATCAGGCAGACCGAGCAGCGCCTGCAGCCCTGGACGCAGCGAGGCATAGTCTCCATACCACTCGAAGGCCTTCTCGCCTCGCTTCTGGAAGAACTGGTCCCAGTATTCCTGCTTGCGGAAATCCTCCGCCTTGCGCGGCAGCAGCTCGTGGCTTTGGCTTGTCATCTTGGAGAGTGACGGTCACGGAGAGCCACTAAATATGGCTACACCCGTGAAAACCGATGTATAAATGTTACTTCAGAAAGTAACAATACGGCAGGGCTGCCCAGCTCCAATGCGTCATTCGGACGAGTGAATCCAAACAGGAAAGCAGCATGGACGGCAGCAACCCCCGTACGTAGGCGCCGCTAACACCACGTATCGCTTAGTACGAACTATCTAATCTTATAAATCGCTTGTATGTGCTACTTGCAGCCAAGAAGACGCTGAGCGCGACGGCCAAGGAATTCTCCTTCAACCCCGGTGCCACTACTTGGACGCCGCCCGCGTCCTTCACGCCACCGCCCCCGGCTCCCGCTCCGGCTCGCGCTTTTGACGTAGCAATGCCCGTTCCTAAGAAGGGTGGTGCTGCTGTGCTTGGCGCCAAGCCTGCGGCCGCTCCGGTCCCGGCTGCCCCTGCTCCGCCTGCTGCTGAGCCCGTGGCCCAGCTGGAGGAAAAGGTGCAGGAGCTGGCCGTCGAAGAGAAGAAGGAGGAGCCTAAGGCTGAAGAACCCAAGGATGAGGAGCCCAAGGAGGAGGCCGCTGAGGAGGAGGAAGATACATTCGAAGAGGAGGAAGAAGTCGGTGATGAGGACCCGCGTGAACACCTCAACGTTGTGCTCATTGGCCACGTCGATGCCGGCAAGTCCACACTGTCCGGCAACCTGCTGTACCTCATGGATATGGTGGATAAGCGTACTATCGAGCGTTACGAGCGCGAGGCCAAGCAGCGGAACCGTGACAGTTGGTTCCTGGCCTACATCATGGACACGGGCGAGGAGGAACGTGCCAAGGGTAAGACCGTGGAGGTTGGACGTGCTCACTTCGAGACGGAAACTCGTCGTTTCACGATTCTGGACGCTCCCGGACACAAGAACTACGTGCCCAACATGATCCAGGGTGCGTCGCAGGCCGATGTGGGTATCCTCGTGATTTCGGCCCGTAAGGGTGAGTTTGAGACGGGTTTCGAGCGTGGTGGACAGACCCGTGAGCACGCTATGCTGGCCAAGACTCTGGGTATCAACAAGCTCATTGTCGTGATCAACAAGATGGACGAGTGCAACTGGGGTCAGGAACGTTACGATGAGTGCGTCACCAAGCTCCGTCCGTTCCTGCGAATGTGCGGATTCGCTGTCAAGCGTGATGTCGCCTTCATCCCCGTGTCTGGACTGCATGGCGACAATGTCAAGGTGCGCGTGGACAAGTCTAAGGCTCCGTGGTACGAAGGCGAGTCGCTCATTGACCACATGGACACGATGCACATTGGCAACCGTAACCCGGATGGCCCGATGCGTGTACCCATTCTGGACCGCTACGCCGACCGCGGCACCATTGCTCTGGGTAAGGTGGAGTCGGGTATCCTCAAGACTGGCCAGAAGGTGCTGCTGATGCCCACGAACACTACGGCTGTTGTGAACCAAGTATATATTAACGAGCAGCCTGTGCGCACGGCCAAGCCCGGTGAGAACGTGACGATTCGTCTGTCTTGCGGTCTTGACGACGTCCAGAAGGGATTTGTTCTCTGCGGAATGAAGGAGGAGACCCCACCTCGCGCCATTCACGCGTTCGCGGCTCAGATTGCGCTGGTGGACACACTGGAGCACCGTCCGCTGTTGACTGCTGGTTACAAGTGTATCCTCCACATCCACACTGTGGCTCAGGAGTGCGTGATCGCGAAGTTGCTGCGTCCTATTGACCCGAAGACGGGCAAGCCGGTAAAGAAGCACGTGACCTTCATTAAGCAGGGCCAGTCGGTGGTCTGCCGGATTGAAGTGGAGCAGAGCATCACGATCGAGACGTTTGCCAACATGCCGCAGCTGGGCCGTCTCACCCTTCGTGACGAGGGTAAGACGATTGCCATCGGAAAGGTGCTGGCGCTCGAGAAATAAGCAACTCCCATGTCTGAACTGTAAGCGGGCAATGAATACGAGGAGGCAAGAGAGTCCGCTCATGAGTGATGCTTCTTGTTGAAGCAGGATAGACAGGAGCAAGAGCTGCATAGCTGTGTGCGAGCTCCTGACGGTACACCAGGCGCTTCATGTCACTTCCAGTTGAGCTGCTGGATCGGCCGCTTGTCTTGTGTATAGCTATGTTCTCCACAGCTCAGCAAGTGGCTGCCGCGTAAAGGAAAAGAAAATGCATGTAGCTGTCACTTTGGCATTGATTCGCTTTGTTTTCTAGTATCACTTGACCTTGCTTTGCTAGTGTAAATCTAGGCTTTAGATGCTGCAGCAACTGCAGTGGACATTTGCTCGCGCGCAATGGCGAAGATGGCAACCAGCGAGGCCAGTTGCAGTTCCTCCGTCGTGCCATTAGACAGGCGGTGCTCGAGGTTGGCCAGCTCGTCGTATAAATACATGCGGCACCGCGGCGGCAGCTCCAGTTCCATAGTGTAGCGGTACACATCCTGCAGGATGTCGCTAGTAGCGTAACCTTTGAGCTTCTGCATCTCGGCACACTTACGCACAGCCGTCGCAAAGTTTTCGTTAAAGAGCCACTGGGTCACCGACTCGATATCCTTTGGCAGAGGGTTACCCGTGCACAGATAGACGTTGGCTTCATTGACGACGTCGTGGGCCATGGACGTCGCCTGTAAGATGTTGAGGATGCGACGCATATCGCCCTGGCCCAGTCGTAGAATGGCCTTAAAGCCGTCTTCGGTCATGTTCAACCTGGTGGCACAATATTAATTAGATCCTAAATAGTAATAGCAGATAATAATTGTAGCAACGCACTTCTCTAGCTGCGCAATGTGCTTGACGCGGCCGCTGACTTGGCTCTCGTTCAACGGGGCGAAGCGGAAGCGCGTGCATCGCGACTGGAGTGCTGGGATGATCTTACTCACGTAGTTACAGATGAGACAGAACCGCGCGTTCTTCGTGTACTTCTCGATAACTCGGCGCAGTGAGAATTGGGCGTCGTTGGTCATAGAGTCAGCCTCGTCCAGGATGATGAGCTTAACGCCCTGGCTGAAGAGCTTCTTGGTGCCAGCAAATTCCTTAATCTGGTTCCGTACCACATCAATACCGCGATCGTCTGAAGCGTTGAGTTCAAGCACCATAGATCCGTAGTTCTTGCCGTACAGCCGTCGCGCTGCTGCGATGATCATGGAAGTCTTGCCCGTGCCTGGTGGTCCGTAGAACAGCAAGTGGGGCAACTTTTGCGCGTCAATCAGGCGATTAAGCGTCGAAATGATCTCCTGGTGCGCAATGAGATCGTCCAGAGATGATGGCCGGTACTTTTCCACCCAAGGCCATGACTCTGTCGAGCGGTTGCGGCTCGAGATGCCCTCGAACGCGGGCGCGTCCTCCGCCGACTTCATCTCCACGTCCACCATTGCTCAGATTGTTGGTCTTTTGGCGCGGAGACACGACATTGGATGAAAAAGGTGACCAATCAGTGGCGTGCGACTTAGTTGAAGTCGCTATTCTAGAAGTTCTGATTCAGATTGTGGGATTTGGTCACTTTAAATTTGGTAAACTGTTTTGTACTCGAACAAACCTAAAACTTCTGTGTTTTTACACTCGAATAAGCCTAAATTCATTCAGAAATTCTAGAAAAGTCCAAAATTAGCATGGTGATGGCAGGTTGGGTGCCAGAATTTCTCAGTGAGGCAGCGCAACGTCAAATTCCACTCAGAAAGACATGTTTTTTTATCGTAAAAAATCATTCACTACCGCGGTAACATTCTGCCGGATAAATGATCTGATATTAAATAACGAAGGTTAATAAGAATGCAACCAAAGCAGCTTCTCCGAATGTCGTTGGTAGAACTAAATTCCACAGTGTATGCGTCTAGTTTTTTCTCCACTGCGTCGATTTTTATCTTCATGTTTCCCGGATACAACAAGCAGTTCATTTCTCAATTGATCAAGATAGTGTAGCAGCAACCATGGCTTCCAACGACCCGCAGGAGATCGAGAAGTTACAGGAGCAGATCCACAAGGGCACGGAGGAGACCAAGACGTATCTCGAGTCGGTAAGTCCAACCGCATACATGCGTGCCCCGCAGCTTAAGTGCCTACTTTTAAACGTTTTTATGCGCTTTCTGTCTGATCCCCACAGCTCAAGGCCAAACTGGCCGAATATGACGCTCATTACAACGTTTCCGAGACGGCCAGTTCCTATCTACAGGCGGCCATCGAGCGTACGCACAAATCTGTGGATGAACTAAAGGAACTGGGCGAATCACTGAAGGAAAAGTCGAAGAACACGTCGGCGCCCGTCGTAGACGTGGCCAAGGCCTCATTTAGCAAGGTGCAAGCGGCTCTCGACGGCCTCAAGGAGCGTGGCCGCAGCTACGATGAGAAATTCCGCGCCAGCGTCACGAGTTCCGTGGACTCTGTCAAGGGCGGCGTCTCGACGGCCACGAGCTCCGTATCGACGTCAATTGAGCACATCGTTGTTACCACACGCGAGCGCAGCAGCTCGAGCTTCGAGCAACTTAAGGAGACACTCTTTAGCGCCGGTTATGGCGCCTATGTCGTCGCGGGTGGAGTCGTGGGCAAGGCCGAGGAGCTGGACGGTCGCTACGGCGTCGTAAACACGGTCTCGGGCGTCGTGGGTGCCGTGGCCGAAAAAGTTTCGGATCTAGACCGCGCACTGGGCGTATCAGCTACAGCCATGAAAGTGGACGAGAAGGTGACAGGCGGAATCGGCACTGACCTCGTGAACAAAGGTGTCGTGCTCGTCAACAACTCAGTAGAGTATGTGACTGGCGCTCTACAGCAGGCCAAGATGGCTGCCAATGAAGAATCGAAGGAGAAGGCACCCAAGACTGTTGAGGACGCCACAGAAGTATCCAAGCCTTCCCCGAAGGACGCATAATGATCACGACCACAAGGTAGGCGCGTGTTATCGTCAGTAGCTTGCGCTTAAATATATGAATACATTTACCAAGCATTTCCAGGTTTCCAAAACTTGTATTATGATCTGTTTGTGACTACTTTTATATTGGTTCGACAACAATATGAAGAAGTCCAAGTTGGACGCTAACCGCCGGCTAAATATGGGGAATAGATAACGCCTGTTGACTCCATAGAATTTGTGTACCTGTAACCTGGGAGGCCTAGCAGCTAACGCTGCGCTTGTCGATCTTGATTTCTCGCTCTCTTTTTCACGATTCCTTGTCGAAGAGGCCAACGAGCCTTGCGCATGATTCGACAGATTCAACTATTTCTTCATCGTGGCCATTGAAACGGAAGAGCAGAGCTGCTAGTGTTGTCCCAATGGAACCTGCGTTGCGAGCCAAGATGTACTCGACACGCAGATGGAAGCGGCCGGTGGTGAGAGATTTGTTGCGGAAATTCTCCAAACGGATGAGGAGAGCTATCAAGCGGAGGATGAAGGGAGAAAGCAGACGCCAATGGATTGAGAGGAATTTACACGACTCCGAAGTGGGCATAATGCTAGATATAGTACAATGTGTGCTAAGGTAGGAGTACGAAAGGATAGGATGCTGGTTACCTGTACTAATCGCGTGAATTTTGGCGTAATATGAAAGCTTTATAATGGTGATTGCCATGATAAAGCTCAACTGGAAGACTCCCGACACAAATTTCACTATCGGATACCTCGCCATCGACACAATTAATCTAGTAGCGACGTTAGCGAATCTTGGTTTAAGGTATGTGATCAGATTTTAGAATGCTTTGCTTTGTTTGAAGTAATGGCGAATCTTAATTACTCTATGATGATAGGTTTTATTCCGCAAGCAACCGCAGGAGTTTCTTGCTGCACTGGTTATCTGTGGTAGAGATCATTTGCGTGCTACCGCTTCTGGTCGAGTTTACAACTGGGACAACAGATTCGATTCCTCATACCTACGCATTTCGCTTGCTAATGATGCTGCGAGTTATGCGGTTACTACAGTTTTACCGCCTTCTACGACTAGCAAAAAGCGCAAAACTCCGGCAAGGTCTGTTGATCTGTCTGACAACTTTTAGCGTCATCATGTGCGGTGGTCTCTTCATGCAGGTAAGAATGATACTTCATTAATTAATGGACACATGCCTGACTCATGCCATCATTTTGTTTTCTAGACCATCGAATACTGTGATCCAGTATACAAAGGAACACAGATTTCTGGCGAGACTTGCCAAGATATGACTTTCTTAGACGCCATTTATTTTGTATGCATTACAATCGCAACAGTTGGGTACGAACCATGATATTAAGATGATCACTGCGCCTGTGTTAAATTTTTTTTCTCACTTTTTCACCTAGATTCGGAGATGTTGCGCCGAAAACTAATTTAGGCAAGGCTTTTGATGTGGCGATGATCTTCTTCGCCGGTGCTTTGATCCCTATTCAAATTAGCGGGTATTCATATATACTCAGTCGAGAGGTAAGTGTTTCATTACAGCAGAGCAATGATGCCACTTGTTTGAATCTGACGTGAGGCTTCTTGTGACAGACAGCATTTGATAAAAAGTATGAACCCGACAAGAGCACACAACACGTCTTACTCTGCGGCGAGGTTGAAAATGGAGCCTTACTCTTCTTCTTACACAATTGGCTTCACAAAGACGAAGAACGTCGAACACGTCGAAAAGTAGTGATCCTGGCGCCCACCTTGCCAACGAATGATTTGAGGCGAGTTCTGCTTCATCCGGACTACGAAGAGCGAGTAATCTATCTTCAAGGCTCCGCTATGGTTGCGGCAGACCTTCAACGTGCCGCAGCTCCGACGGCGGAATACTGTTTCGTCATGGTTAAAAAACACAGTGGAACGCTAGATCAAAACGACACGGCTGCCAACCTGATCACCTGCTCAGTGCGCAAAAACAATCGACATGGTATTGAATATGGAGTGTACTTGACCAACACATCCGTTCTAAATGTTAGTATCTAACTATGCTTTACTTGACCAGCACCTTTGCACGTCCAAGTTTCAAAGTTCGATAACACTCGACATTTCCACATTTCCGGAGCCACGGCAGTTATCTGCTTGGAGCAACTCAAACTGGCATTTTTCGGCAAATGTCTGTGGATTCGAGGATTCAATCCTTTCCTCGGAAATCTCGTTCATAAATTCTCCCACACCGAACAGTGCAGGTACGATTGTTTCTCAAACCTTGTGTATCGTTGAGCACTTATCCGTGATTTATGCTTAATTCTGCTGAACTTTTCTAGAGGATATTGGTTGTCAGATTATCTATCAGGATGTGAGCAAAAGATATGTGAAGCTGCTCTGCCTCCATTTCTACTCAATATGCCATCGTATCGCGCTCTCGCTGTGCTTTTCTATCGCGAATTTGGTGTCCCACTTGTTGGCTTGCGGACCATTGAGGATACGACTACTGTGTATCCCGTTGACGAGCAGCTATCTGATGCAAATTTTCTCAGTGTTTTCTTTATTGGCCGAGGGAACGACATCGCCTCAAAGATTGAGAAGTTGACTCCAGCAATTTTTGCTCGCCATCCTGATATCGCTCCAGCATCGTTAGGCATGAGTGCCAATCGTAACATTCGAACAGTGGCAACCATGCTCACCGCCGCTATTGAGAACAAAATTCCATTTGGACGTCGCGTATCCGTTGGATTCGGTCGTGACCGTCGTGTCAGTTCAACTCCAGACAAGGCAATGGGGAAGAATTCAATAAAAAGTCGCTTGAGCATGTTTTCCGGTCGAGCGATGGACAAGATCGCCCCAGTGGACAGAGAGATCGATGAACACAGTGATCCGGAGTCTGTAGTTGAAGATGACCCAACACAAGCTCCTGTTGAGGATAACCGCGTGGATGCCCGACGCTTCTCTCCGAGGCACATGGACTCAAACCACATGACAACCGACGAGAAGTACTCGCTAGGAAATCCAACAGAAACAGCACACACGCCACAGCACAAACCTTCAAAGCCTGTCGTTCCAGTCATCGCTTTGACTCCTGCCGAGCTCGTAAAAAAGGCTACGACACCTCGTGATCGGCCGAAAGATCCGGTCGTTAGACCTTTGTCGAGTCGAATGCCGTTAAGTGCCAGAAGTGGCAGGAGTACCATAGACTATAGCACGCGAGACCAGAGCATTAGGGAGTCATTCGTGCGTGCTCCCAGTGATAAAACATTGTCTGAACAACCAACAGAGCAGAAACCAGACCCAACGCCAAGTCCCAGTGTGGACGACTTGATAGCTCAAACGAATATAAAGACCGAAGCCACCATTGCAACTAGCACCGCTACAACCAGTAACGCTCTTGTGGAGGGCCCACGACTCAGCCATATCCTCGGAACACGACCGATTACCGAACAACTCACAGAACGAGATGATTATCACGCTTCGAATTGGGAGCCTGCTCCTCTCTTACGACCATCAATTGCTATCAGTGGAAACCTTCGAGCGCGTATTCGTCATCTGTCGCTTTGCTTTCGTCGCGATCCACCGCCAGTGACTCTGAGCGAACACTATGTCGTGTGTGGAACTCCCAGCAACTACGAAGACTTCCTTGCCAACTTAAGCGACCTGAACGAGAAGGTCACTGGTGTCATCTTCATTACCCAGCGACAGTTGACGGAGAAAGATTTCATGGCACATCAGCTGCACGAGCGCTTGTATTTCGTTCGTGGATCTCCACTCAGTATGCACGTGTTCCACACAGCTCGCATGATCCACGCGCGAAGTATCTTGATCATGTCGTACTGCGGGATGGAGAACACTAGCAGTATGGACCTTGAGAATGATCTGGAGAGTATGGACGAGAATATGGCAGACGTCGACGCCATCACTACGCACCGCTTTATCACTGAGGCGCTGCAGAACGAAGCTTCTCGACTGGAGAGGAACGGGATCAATGAAAAGAGATCGATGCCATTCATCGTCGCTGAGATGATTCGTCCTAGTAATGTCAAGTTTCTCATCGACCGGAATGGCTCTCTATTCGACGCAAAGGCAGCAGCGAATGAGCCACGCCAACGTGATCTGCTCAAGGATGTCAAGTTCCTCGACAGCTCGTTTTTCAGTCCGCTGTACGCGTCGGGTCACATTTACTTCTCCAATTTCATGGATGCACTTATGGGGTCTTGCTCAAACCAGCAACTCATGATCGAGATGGTGACGCAACTTGTCATCAGTGGGAATATGAGCATGAAGATGCCGAACCGAGTGCAGAGATCGCGACACCGATTGACGCAGATGCCAGCGCCAGAGCGATATCACTTTCGCCCTTATGCGCTGCTCGTAGAAGGGCTGCTTCACAACGAGGTACTGCATTATTTTTCTCCTTCATTTCGTCCAGTTATTGAGTAGTCTCATCCTTTTGTTTGCATCATCAGGACACCATGACGTTGGGCATTTATCGCAGTGCCAGCACTTCAACCTCTCCACAGCATGTACTCACGAACCCACCAGGTGATGAGCTTATCACCCCACAAGACTTGCTCTTCGTGATCAAATGACTCGGTTTATAGAGTTATAGAGCAAAATTCCTGACGACCAACAGCAATGAGAGCGTCGCCTGATGGTGCCCATTGAAGACCCAGAGCTTGAAACGATTCTGTCAGGAAATGAAGCTGTATATCAGCAAGAGGGAAGCTATGAACACTGTCGATACAACGTACCAGTGGGTATATTGATCCACGAGATGCCTTCTGTACTCCAAAGGTGGACACGATTCTCCCCCGACGTGATCGCGAGGCGAGAGTGCACTGGGTCCCATCGCAAGCTCCGGACAGATTCGAGCAGCGATACAACTGAGTGCAGCGTCAGACTTTCTGTGCGCCAGATCCACACATTGTACGGCATCTGGTCGCTTTTGGTAGCTATAAACGCAGAATCGGCACTCCACACTACTCGGCTAATACCAATCTTTGGGTTTTCTGTTCTACAAACCGAAACATTTGAAATGAGTTTCAGATAAAACAGCACACCACGCCTGTTAAATACACTTACAATGGATCGGAGGCAATTGTGCGAACAGAAAATGGTGGTTCCCGCGTCACGAAGCAAACATCGCGAGACTTTTTGCCACCTGCAGCTTGAGCGGCCGCTGAAGCGGCTTGCAATGAGTTCGACAACAGAGAAGAGCTTCGCTGTATTACTGCCACCCGTTTGCCTTGCGGTCGATCCATGACATTGGCATCCGCGTAGTTCTCTTCGTATTCGATCTGCACAAGAGATACATTAGTAAGGCGTTTGCAACATGTTCAGCCTCTGTAGTACACTCTCACCGCTGCGTGGCTCGTATGAGATTTCGTGACGGCGATACTTTCGTGATCGAAGTCCACGACAGGCTTCCAATTGATGTGACTCAGCACACGCAGATGCTCATCGTAGCTTCCAAGCGCCAAGAACTGGCCTGACGTCGACCACGTCATCGTTTTCAATCCCAGCGCATTCTCATAAGCCTAGAATGAAGAAGAAATACAAAAATGTCAATACAAAACCCTCTTCAGCGTCACTATGCTGTCATACCTGATACTTGGCCAGCAATGTTCCATCAGGTGAGTATAACAGCACTCTGAACTCCAAGTGGGTATCTCGCACCGCAATGGTCCTGCACACAATAACCTCTTAATAAGAATATAAAAGCATTGTTGTCATCACTCCACGTACGCGTCGTCGGGTGACCACACGACCTCAACGCAGTCGTAGCTGTCGATGGCGAAATGTGTGGTAAGCTCCCAGCTCTCGCAGCTGTAGACGCCTATAAAGTCCTTGCAGTCGTGACGCTCCACCACTGCAAGGAACGCTCCATTATTCGAAAAGCTGAGGCCGTCGGCTGCCAGTTTAGGACTGCGGATGGAGCACCTCGCAGTTGGGTCCTCGAGGGACCACACGGTCGCGTGCAATTGAAAGTCGGACACTGTCACGACGTGACGCACATCGGGTGTCCACCTTGCATGGACGAGTCCTGCTACACCCTCCGAGATCTTACAGGTCCAGGACGCGTCTTGTACAGACCAAAGCTGCACCACAGCGCGCTTGAATGAAGCCGTCAGTACCAACTCCGAGTCCTCGGACCAGACCAGCGTCTGCACTTCGTCCACCGTCGAATAGCGCTGTACAATCTGCAGTGACAGCGCGTCGCGGATGGCCAGGCGGTTCCCACTTGCAGATGCCAAGTACCGACCACACGGAGACCAGCGTACAAGCCCGTGGGCAACGCGCATCGGCGCTGATACCGACGCCATTATGCTATTGCAAATGTAGCCATAAATGTGGATCACATTTGTACATCATTTCCATATGTGGTCCACATTTTCAATAATGGGTCACGGAAAGAAGTGGAGAGTGGCGGAAGATGAAGCGGTTGCCGCTGCCTACGTAGCGCTGACGACCACTGGAGGGCGGAATGGCGCTCCTTTATGGGAGGCGGTGCGCGACAGAATCGGAGGCGTGAGGAGCGCGCGTGCCCAGCAGAATCGCTGGATTCTCATCTCGCAGGACATTAAAGTCTTCATGCGGTTTTTAACAGAAGTTGAAGATGAAGAAATGGGGGAGGAGGAGACCGTGGAGAGAGCGAGAGACGTTTTTCGAGAGAGAATGGGAAGGGAATTTGAGTTCCTGAGCTGCTGGAGGATCGTGAAGGACTGCTCAAAGTTTGGGGGACAGGGCCAGGCTGAAACAACTACAAAACACGAAGTGCAGCCGCCAGTTCCTGCTGCTACTGAGCCTCCTCGTGTTGCCTCTGAGCCCTCTCCTCCTTACGCTGAAGTGGAACCGCCTTCTCCTGCTGCTGTTGCCACTACGGCGTCTCCTACTGTCGCTACTCCTGGTTCGGAGGAGTCGACGGAGCAAAATGAGAACGGGGCGACAGCAACGACGGCGTTGGACTTGGAGTTTGTACACCAACAACTGGCAATTGAGATGCGTCGCAAGAACGACCTACAGGAGGACGAGTTAGCCATGAAACTATTCGCTGAAGCACGTGAGTCGGAGGACTCACAGAGGTTCTTCAAGCTGCTAAAGAGAAAGAAGTTACTGCAGTTGGAGCAACAAGTTGACGAGCTGGAACAAGCTCAGCAGCGACGACGACAACGCAAAAGCTAACTACGAGTAATGCTACTACGATATTATGCTGCGATACATTAGGCTACTCAGATTTTGTCCCTCGCGTCGAAGCAATTTCCGGATCTGGAAGGTGGCGTGTGTCGGAGTGATCACCTGCAACGCGTTTCCTGGGAACAGGCCGGTAGACGACTCTGCCAGCGAGACTCGACTCCACACTGTTGTTCGTCGAGGGTGTATACTTGGGGCCTTCCCAGTAGACTCGACCACAGCCGTCACAATTCCAGAATGTGGTGACACTGATCGGGACTTTCTTGCGAAGTCGCTCTGACATTTTCTTACGTGCGGAGTCGGCGTTAATGGGAGAAAATGTGTCGGAATTGCAACGAGCACACCGGGACGAGCGAGTGCCGATGTGGTTTACCAGTCCAAACTGCAATTTGACTTCTCGGAACTGCATGTAGCACTCGTCATCCGATAGTACAAAGCAAGCACCAGCGTCTCGGCGACTGGGAAGGCCTGTGTCTCGAGTCAAGACGATTCGGTCTTCCGTGGCTGCAAATGCTAACATAACACTCTTGGGATCCGTGCTTCTAGTGGCTTTGACATCTTCTGGATTCCAGGTGACCACATCGACTCCAATTGTTCGCAGCCAACGACCGACCTGAGTCACCATCGAGTCGGCTAGAAACTTGTATTCGAGGGGTTTTGGCTCCGTCTCGGCGATGTTACCACTTGTCTTATCCGTGTTATCGACTGAAGTCGGAGAATCGCGTGGAATCGAGATATCGTCAAGGAGTTCGATGCTGATCAAAGCGAAGAACGCCTTTGACTCTACCCAGATCACTTTGTCTGGCGATCCAGATCCTGCTGCGAGATATTGTGCCTTCTGCAGTCGTGAGTCCACGAATAGGTTGATTAGTACTGGATGTGTAGATTTATCCTCTGACTTTGAAGTCCATGGCTTGTGGCCGAAGGGAGCAACTGTCCCTGGTGCAAATCCAAAGACACGGCGACATTCCGATGCTGCTGCTAATCGAACTTTGCGACGCCCGACGCCACGGAGTCTTGCAATCTGTACCATATCCAGCTTGTAGTTGGCTTCGATGCAAACCACGGAGGGCGTTTCTGTCTCAAGTGAAAAACAAATACCGTTGTCAGATCTTGGTGATTCGTGATACAACCCATGCCGGCTTACCGGCAATGAAAATGCAGATGCTGTTCACAGCGATGAAGTCACGAGTATCTGCATCTTCCTGTGGGTCTTGTAGCATCGCTGTCATCTGGTCCTTCGTCAAGAACTTCAACGTCGTGTCAAAAGTCAACTTCTGTTCAAGCAATAAAGCGCGTCTTCGGTCTTCCCAGAATTGTAGAACGTCCTGCGGCGTCACCAGCTTGGTCATGCAAGATGCTTCATCGCACTGGTGGCGCCATTTCTTCTGATACGCGATGCGGTGGGAGACGGCTTCCAGTTTTTCATCCTCGCTGAGTGAAACCGCGTGATTAAGCGTAACGATGCGCTTGGAAACTTCACTCCAGCTTGGCAAACTTTTGTCGTTGTCGCTTAGATTTTGCCTGACAGCAACAACGTATTTGATGAGAATTGCAACACTAACAGCATTGTCGTCATTGACGTACAACTTGCGGACGATGTGAACGAGACACAGAGCATCTAGTGCTGCATAGTTCTTTTGTTCCTGCGAAAGCGGCCGGTGTTCCCAATCGCTTAGCTGCATCCGCTGTGAGTAGTAACGAACGAGTTCGATGAATATCAGCAAGTCATAACGCAGTGATAAACTACTACCATAATTTACGTACCTTGTCCAAAGGTTTGCCAAGAACGTGATGAACACATTGCGACAAACCGCTGTTAATTGGACCTGATGTCAGCTCTAACGTGTTCAACTGCAGCAAAAATAAAATATCTTCGTCAGTAACATCTTGAAATCCATCTTCTTCTTCAACTTACATCTAGGAATGGAGACACTCCAGTAAAAGACTGACGCTCGGGGAACGTTTGATGTAGGACTAGAACATGGTTAGGCAGCTATAGTATTTGGAGCAACACAGACAATGCCGTACCTTTCAAATCCGAATCGAAGCCGAAGCCCAGCTTAAGCCACTGCGGAGAAGTTAGCAGCCGAGGAAGGAAGCTGTCGAACAACAGGTCGTTGTCCTACATGTTTCCGATAAAATAAAACTAAATATTACCCGTTGCCCAAAAAAAATAAACAACTGCCAAACTCACATGAAGTGCCAGTAAATCGACGACGAAAACGCCGTCTGACGAGGCAATTTGCAGGATGCTCGCTACCGCTGTCGTTGCTTTCGATCGTGCTATGATGGGCTTCCATTCCACATCCAAGCCCACCACTTGTTTGTCGTCTACTTTGTTGGAACTGGTGGACCCAAAAAAGTGCTCCATTGCATCTCTCACTGTGTTCTCATCGTTGCAAAAGGTAATACTCGGGATCTTTTCAGGCAACGCATAAAACCCCTCGTCTTCAACGCCCTGTCCAATCTCACCAGAATCCGAGTACTTGGGTATCATGGGTGAAATGTCGGGTACTAAGCCCGCATTCACCATCATCTTAACCAAGTGAGCTGCATGTGCCAGTTCTCCAGCAGTAACCATGTGCTCGAGCAATACTTTTTGAAGAGTAGTGTCGTGGCCAACGAAAGTAAGTGCAAGTTGCCAGCGTTGGGCTTCGATAAGTCGCATGAGGCCATCACGGGTGTACAGTGCATCTAAAAGTTCGAATTCTGTGTGAGTATCGAGGAACAGTAGAAGCAGTAGCACCATATAGAACAGTAGCTGGAGGGCGTACCAACGTCCGGATACTGTTTCTGGAGGTTGAAGCTTACCACCAAGCGGTGTGCCTAAAGTAGATAAACTAGATTCGTGAGAGGCATTCCAATATAAACACTTACACCTTCCAGCTTACCCGCTTGAAATCCCGAATGTTTATCGTTGCATCAATCAAAACCGTGGCCAGCGCTGCAATTGAACGAACTCACAACACGTTGATCAGAGTGAATATCCAAATCACCCTCAATATTTTCCCTACCGGTGTCATCATCTTCCGCAAAAGTTTTCACTAGTAACTCTGCTGACATCCAGTCTTTCGTCTGTGCCATTCTCGTCACGATGGTCTCAAATGGCCAGTCAAGCTCTGGGAACGTCTCGCACAGCTTAATCAACGCCGCGTGGCTCTTGAACGCAAGTAAATGCTCCATCGCATTTCGCACAAGATTCGGCTCAATATCATTGATCTGAAAAAGCCCCAATAGTTCCACCAGCAACTTCTGGTCCTGGAAGCATAGTCACCACTGCAAAGTTAGCATTGTCATGAGTCAGCTTGCAGTAATTCATTATTACCGTACAACGTTTAATCTGGTGTCCAGTCCTTTCATGCAGAAGCTCCGCAGCTCCTCATTGGTTCTCCCCTCGAGTCTACACAACGTTATCTGTCCATTGTTTGCGTCTCCAATTGTAATTTTCCTCAGCGCATTCACCACTAGAAACGCTAGTGGAGTATTGGGTTGACATTTTTTAAAGCTTGTTTTGCTTGTGTGGGCCCGTGGCTCGCAGCTGGTGAGTATGGGGGCAGTAGATTGAACAAGTACTGGTTCTTGTGCCAACACTAGCAAAACTTGCACCATAAATTTCCAAAAGAATTGCGCGCTTCCTGCATTGCTAAGCTGTATAAAAACCTGGGTAAGTGCAGTTTCCAAAGCAACAAATTTGCTGTTGCCCCGAGCGGATTTGGCACTATAAAACGTTGCGTGGATCCGACGCGCCCATTGTGCTGCAGTGGCAGTACTTGAGTCGATAGATTGCTCTGCATTGCAACACGAGTGGAAAGTTTCCACCAGCTCTGAAAAGAGGAGTTCCATCCGGAAATTGACTTATGTCCTTGCACCGCGTTGATAAAAGAAAGAGTACAACATCTGTACCCATCTTTTCCACCATCACTCACCAATTGTAAATTAGCCTTGAGCAGGATTCTAGTGCATCTGGGTGGAATAAACTGATCCCTGGGTGGGATAAATAATCCCATCCCTGGAAAAACATAATTTTGTTCCCCAGAAAATAGATTTATAGGTTTTACAAGGAGTGGTTAGCAGCACGAATAGTCGAACTGAACCGAAAAAAAAACGATCCGGTACCCAAACCGGAAGCCTACCACATCTCATTGTACTATTCTAACTAGTATCCTATCTTCCATCATATTGAAAGCGTATGAATTTCGGTCACTTGAATGTCCTCGAATCAAAAGTGCCACATGCACACACATCAAGTGTAGAGGTAGCCAACCTCATCTACGTTCATCCAATGTCTGACCTTCCATCTAGCGCTGCCTTCGAGCATACATGAACCTTCGTGCGCTCTGAGAAGATCTGCGCCTTCGAGCCGTTAATCTATTGGAAATGGGCATTGGCACATAGAAAGTTGCCGAGGACCGACGAGGTGATTGAGGAGGCTTGAGCTCGAAAAAATATGCTGAAAAGTGAATCGATTTGAGAGCCCTGAAAATTCCAAACTACTTGACTTACATGCACTGCTCTCAAGGCACTTCACTCTGCACCCTCGCTCTCTCGTAGCTTCAATCCATCCTGTTGAACCCGTACTTCACGATAGCACAGCACATGGCTACTGCAACCGGTCACTGCTGCTGCCACCATCTTCTCTTCGCATCATCCGTTGTCTTAGCCGACGATACCGCACGCATCACTACTTGAGTTCGTCCTCAGTTATAACTCTCCACTCGGGCAAACCCCGCGTTGGCCACGAAAACGATCAAATCTCACGAAGCTTCATGCCGCGCTTCACACCGCCCGTCGGATACGATTTCTTAGTCAAGAATATGCAATGCAGAAACCAGTTTCGGTCTTGAATTGACCGATAGATACAGTATTGCTTTAACAACAGGCCAAGGCCGAAGCTCCATTAGCTCCCGTGATCTGGACAACTGATCACGAAAACGCTCTTGGATTGGGGCGCGCGTTGGCCGGGTTTTATCCATGTTGAATATGACAAATTATTGTCGCACTTAAGCGGAGCGCGCGCATGTGAGTATGCAGCAGGAGATTGGACCGGAGAGCGATGGATCTAGATGATGGGCGCAGCGACGAGACTTGCCGTGGCGGCGTCGACTCAGATCGGTGCCTGGATAACGCAAATCAAGACATGACAGGGATAGATCCGGCGGACACAAGATCCTACACTATCGATCCGAGATCTATCGTATAAGAGGATAGACCTTGAGGATCCTGGGCTTAGGCAACTAGACCGTAGCAATTGGGCCAAGGATCACTGGGATGGAGATTAACAAGATGAGGTGGACCCAGATCAAAACCAAGGATCATGAATCTGGACAAGGAAGAGCAAGATACATGGCTGAAGATGAGATATCTAGTGGCTGTAAAGGTAGAGACAGTCGGTGTATAGGACCTAACTATAAATCCGAGTCGAATCTGCATTGTTTCACAAGTGCCTCCCTGCCTCAAGATCCGAAACGACATTGGTCGTGTGAGCTCGGTGAAGGTTGGGGATCATAGATCTAGCGTCGGTTGTGATACCTGGATAGTATATTGACTACCTAGTGAACGTCCCAAAATAATAATTTACAAGTGCTGATCAAGGAGATTAACCGGATTCTCTGCTTCGCCAAGAATACCTATCGACTCACAACTATCAAGGTCACGCTCTAGGAATCTACCCCCCCCCCCCCCAAGGATTCCGACACGCGATCTACTTCCAAGGAGCCGATCCACTGATGACACATCATCTGATTTGTACCCACGGCTAGTACCACGCGACCAGGCTACAGAGGGGATAGAAAGGACATCATAGGATGGGCA